ACAGAAAACAGCATTCAAAGGTGGGTTTTACTTTTGCAGCTCTTCCTATTATAGGTATTTGGGAAGCTGGAAGGAGAAGGAAGCAGTGGAGTGACAGAAGGGACAGACCAGTGAACAGTGGGGCAGAAACTAGGGGCTGCCCTGGTCTTTCTGCCTTGCTGCATAGGGTGGGGACCCTGTGATTCTAGGCGGGGGTGGGGTGCAGAAGGGAGAAGTGAGGCCCTTTTTCTTGCATCATGCCCCCCTTTTCCATGGATAAACTGCAGGGTGGGAAGAAGGGCATGTGTCTAGCGAGTGGGGCCTTGCCAGCATTAGTGCTAGCACTGATGGTGTTGAAGAGATCTCTGAAGGACTGTTTTCCATCAAGCTGTAAACCCCCTTGGCAAAAATCTCCTGCCACCAACATCACCTCCTAAGCCAATGGGGTTGCAGCCCCCCTGCCTTTAGTGAGCATGGTTGTGGTACATAAGGCACAGGGTCTCTCACTTCTGGCAGCCTAAAGCCACTTGTAATGTAGGAACCCAAGATGCTGCTTTGTCAGGCTCTTTTCCTCTCAAAGGGGCTGGCAGGCAAATGTGGTATTGACTTTTCTTTTTGATGTGAAAGAGCATGAACGCACAAGAAGGCGATCCCTATATTGAAGCATTCCTTTCAGTCTGGACAGATCTCTACTTGGGAAGGAGTAATAACCAAAAACTAACCAACATCCATTTTCCAAAATGTCTGGGGCAAACATTGACTGTTTAGCCCTACTCCCCCATGAAATACAGAAGGCAGAAGTTGCTGTCATCAAGGCCGAGTCCTGTCTTCACTAGCTGGAGTCCTTAAGGGAGACATTTATTTCCTGTTACTTCCCCATCTAAATACTTTTATGCAAAGGCCCTGAACTAAAATATTTTGCATGCTTTTTGAGACCTGCAGGAAACATTAAGCATACACAATGGGCCAACAATTAAACCAGCCAGTTCAAAATTGGTGGGGGATTGGCAGCTGCTTTTCTCAGACCCACTGTGAATAGAGTAGATTTGCTTATTTTGCTTTAAGTATTCCATTTCTAAATAATAATTAATATCAACTGTTGACCCTGTAGGGAGTGTGGGCAGCTTTGCCTTTGGATTTTGTAGCATTGTTGAATACTTGGCTACTTTAAATGGATTTTTAAAATGTCTTTTATTAAAAAAAAATGTTTTTGCAGCACTAATAGCTAGTTGTTGCCAGGGGAACAGTAATTAACCAGCCATTATCTACATGCCTTAGACTATGAAATGCCATTTGGCTATATGTATATAATTTTATTATAATCAGCAACATTTCAATATTGGAGTGCATTAGCTTGTATAATAATTATAGGCAAGGAAGGAAGATAATGTATGAGATAGTGAAAAATAACTAGAAATCAAGACTACTGGAGTTGGATACTCAAAATGGTCATGCTTATGAATAACTTTGCTCATACAAGTAGTCTATCAAAGGCAATGGGTAAAATCATGTATGTATATGGGTATTGAAGGGACTGGACCACTCTTGTGTATTCTCAGCACTGACCCCAGCACTGGCTTCTAATTCTGGTTGCCCAGTTTGGATCCAGGTCAATTTTTGACATTTTGGGGCTTAACCTTAATAGGTAATTAAACGCTCATAATACCAACAGCTTCCCAGTAAGGGCTTTTGTGGCCCTACAGTGTTAAGGTCTACAGAAGAAAAATACTCTCTCAGTTAGAAATACTAATAGGCATTAATTAACATTTTTAACATGCTTGCGATTTGCTGAATGAGTGGCAATATGGAAGCATATTTTATCCTAGAAAGCATATTTTATGCCAAAGCAGACACACTTGTAACACTTTTGAAGGAACTGACTTAGGATGTGTGGAAGTGGGGCTCTGTTTTAGGATTAGATTTTCCGTACAGTAGATCAGTGCATTTAAAAATGAGACACATTTGCAGTCCAGGCAAACTCATTTCTGAAATAAGTTTCACAGACCAAGTTTCCGAGACCAAGTAAGTTAGGCCAAGTAAGTTAGACAAAGTTTCTAAAGCCCAATGCAGAGGAAGATACAGGCTTCGGAGAAGAGGTTTTAAAACTATCTTATGAATTTTTCTGCGTACTGGGATTCCACAACAAAACCATTTTACATCCAAGGAATTTAAAAAGAAAATGCCTGGCTGTCCTTTTCCTTCCTACAGCAGCTGTTTTTATTCTGTATTTTAATGAGTGGGCTGAACCAAAAGCCTTTGGGGAAGGGCTTCCCTCTGGCACCCCTCCATCAAAGTTTTTGCTGGTGTGTCATGCTCTTTGCCCGTGTTAAATGAGTAAATGCCTATAGCTGGCAAGTTTAGAGGAAAGGCTACATCATGTTCTTGACTGGTTAAGTTCCTTGATACAAGCTCTTTTTTATTTTCCCTGGATTTCAGTCTAAGATGACTTTGACTATGTGAAGTAAGTATTCAAAACCTCGGAAGCTTTAATCCTCCACTGCCTTTAACAATTTTTTCCAGCTTAAAGAACTGTTAGAGGTTTGGCAGTGAACTGTATTTGAATTACTGCATTTCAGGTTTCCTGTTAAGTGTGCAGAAAAGGAAACAACTGTCTTTAGTCCTTATCCATCTTTATAAAATGCTTTGTGATTCTTATATGAAGGTGTCTATGTAAATGCAGAGTTGTGTTATTATGCAAAATATAGAATGGAGCATGACGATTCCTTTAGGTTGTAAAAAGTGAATGTGGTTTTATTCAGCATTACAAACTCTAATCCCAAACTTAATTATTTGGCTCTCCTTTCTCTCGCTTCCTCTCTGAGTGCTAAATTGATTTTTATCTTGGATGTATTGATTACTTATCATCTAATCAGTCCATCTTATTCACACTGGGAGTAACGGCTTTGTGGATTTTTACCCAGCTTCTCAGTACCCAGAAAATGTCTTATTCCTTTGTGCACTTAATAATATTAGAGAACCAAGAAAATGGTGAAAGTGGTGAGAGAGAGAGAGAGAGGTTTGGGGTTGTTTTTTTTTGCTGGTTTTGCTTCAACACCAGATTACATTCACTAAACTCAGCAAATAGCAGAATTCCCTCTAGAATACTGTGAAGCAGCCAGAATTGCTACAGTTACATTTTGCTGGAGGATTCATGTAGCAGGGTTTCTATTTTTTTTCCCTTTTTTTGTTTTTTTTCCCCTTACTTTTTTTTCTATGGTCTGCTGAAATACCTTCCTTTAGTTAGAACCACATTCCTGATTGATTCTGTTCTCAGAATGGAATGGCAGCTCTCTTGTTAATGAACCTCCCCAAATCAAAAATGCAAGAGGTGCCCTCTGTTTGAACATTCAAGTGCAAGTTAATCATTGGCAGCAGAAGGGCATGCAAGCTTCTGGTCTGAAACCTTGCTATTTATACCTTTTATAGATAACAGCATTAGGCTTTGAGAAATATTTGTGCAGTTGGGGAGACCAGATGAGTTCAGCTTGTTGCCTTTAAAAGTCAATGATTTTTAAAAAAATGTAAAAAATGATTGTGTTAGATTGACAGAAAATAAAGGCTGAAACGAGACTCTGCCTTCAGATATCCCTGGACTTTAGATCCGGTCCAGGACTTCATAGTTGTACCTTGTGTTATTGATGATGAAACCCAGAGTTGGTGACTTGGGCCTATCATTCATAGAGAAGTTAAATATTTAAAAAGAGGATTATGGCTAGATTCTTCTCTCTGATATGTTGATGCAGATCTTTATGTTGCTCTGGCAACATAAACAAGCTGGTAACGTGGTGAACCTAGCCAGATGACATTTTCTGTCATCTTGGGGTGGCAGAGAATTCATATGGCCAGAATGAAACTGCCCCTTTCCCAGGAATGTGAGAAAAAGGGGTATAGCACCAGTGCCCCTTCACACCTGCAATTACCAGCTGCTGGAATAGTTCCTGAGGCAGAGGCAGCCATGCATTATGCAGGTCAGGCTACTCTAAGTGATCAAGATTGCTGGCTTCTGTAAAAACAACTGACTGCTTTAACTTGATTAAGTTTTTTAATTGAGTGAATCATGGGCTGTTTTGTGTAGTGATAGCAAGGCCTAAATTAAGCTGGCCCAGGGCTGAGTAGCTGGAAAAATGGCAAGTTTTTCTGTTCAGGTGGATCTGGACTATAGCTAAAGATGCAATTCCAGATATTTCATGAATGACTTGGTTTTTTTTAAATACTTAATGGAAACATGAATACCTTTGCTTAATAGGCATTATAGGTATTTCTCAACCATGGAAAGCTAGAGCTCTGCTACTTATCTTTGAAAATAAATAGTCATGGAGCTTGCTGGCTCTAAGTGCAGAGCAGTCTCACTCATGAGAGCTTTGTTCAGCTTGTGTCTGAGAATACACTGAATTCTTGCCTTGTTTCCTTGTTTTCCAACCAGTGACATGAGATAATGAAGTTAGTGTGAGTTTGGGAGATCAGCAAGATCATCTGGGTGAGCAACAAAATCTAAATGATTTGGGAGAAAGTGGAATGGTAATGTCTGCCACTCTGCCTCAGCTCTCAACAGAATAAGCAGAGAGCTTGACAATGCAGGGTCCTGTTGACCCTTCCGTTTTCAGCTCGGGGCTCCTTGTAGCTTTTTGTCCACCTGAAGGACCCTCCATTCACCACTGTATATCCAACTGCTCATTTCATCCTTTCTGCAGGGATCTACTGGGCAGAAGATATTCACTAGCTCCTCTTCAGACTCTGGGCCTCTCTTGGCAGACTTCCTTTGAGTCTTTTCTAGCTCCTGCTCCTCTCCCCTCAACAGTTTCTGGTCATTTTCTACTCCTGGCCAGCCTGTTAGAGAGAACTTGATAGTATATTCCTGTATAGCATAGCCCTCCACAATCCCTTTCAGTACCTTCATAAGTGAGTGAGTAGGTTTCATCTAATACGAAACATCGCTTCTGTGCTGCTGTCACCTGTCCAACGGCATCTGAAGATCATCACCTGAGAGCCAGAAAACTAGGCATAGGTGGAATGGAGCACACCTTCCTCAAAAGGCCAGCTTAGTCTGTGACAGTGAAGAGCAGTCTTGCAGCTAACTTGCTGGACTAGTGCTTAGGATATCGGTATTAAGTTTTCAGCTCTGCCACAGAGATTCTGTGACGCTTAAGCCAAGTAACTTAATCATTCTGGATCTATAAAATGGAGGCAATAATGCTTCTTATGTCTGTTTTGTCTATTTAGATTGTAAATTGTTTCAGGGGAGGAACTGTTTCTGGCTGTTTATTATACAGCATTAAGCACAATGACACATGAACTTGATTTGAGCCAAAAGGAGCTACTGCAATATATGGAGGTAGTTATGTTGTTGTTTAGGGGTTGTAATTATTGTTCAGAGTATCAAATTTTACTTGGATAATTTTGCTGAAATTTCTGTTTAGAAAGCATAGATCATTAAGAAGACAAACTTTCTTCTATTTACTGCTACACAAAATTGGGATCTTAGGTTTTTTTTAAAGCTAAACAGCCATGGTAGAAAAAAGTTGAACTTTGCCTCTAGTGTGGTAAGTACAGATTTGTGTTGATTGATCACCACTGAACAGGCTAGAGTAACATTTAGCACACAAACAAAGTTTTAACTTAACTTTTTATAAATTATTTTTAGGCTCCATTAAAATCAACTGGCTCTATCTGGATTCACTAAAAACTCCCTAGAGCCTGAGCCTGGAATGCATAATTCAGGGTTGTCCTACAACACAACAAATCCCATACAACCCTGACGTGGTTGGCATCTGACTTCCAAGAATGTATGCATTCAGGGTTCCTAGGAATATTTCGTGACACAACAAAAAAAACCCAATGAACTTT